TTTTTTGCAGCTGCTTAAAAGGTTAAGGTTAAGAGTACATCCATACAAACTCATTTAATAAAAGAGTCTTTAATTGATGGAGAGATGTTTTCCCAGGTAAACAATCGGTCAAGATGTGAGAGTGTAGGCATTTTCAGTATGTATTCAGTGGACATTTGCAGTGGAAGTAGTTTGGTTAATCTGTGATGGTGAAAGTCACTTTAAATAAATTTAGTGTAAAAGAAATATATTAATTTTATTCCAAAATATATTACAAGTGTATATTTATTTACTTAAAAATTATATTTACATACATATAGCTGTGTAAAAGCTATTAACGAATGAAGTGAAAAAGTGAAAATAGTCAATTATTGCGTGATTGGGTCGCGTCGGTTCGGTACATTTATGTATACGAGTGTGCACACAAATGAATTGCATTTTCTTGTATATGTATGTATGCATGTATATAGGTATGTAAATTAGTTTAGTTAGTCACATTAGTTTTTTCGTATTATTTTAATTATTATTTCGTATTATTTTAAAGTGTGGGAAATATATTAAAAAAAAATTGCAAAGTAATTTAAATAGTGGTGCGTACTTAGTTTGGGAATAAATAATATAAACTATTTAAGCAATAACAAAATCCAATTTATTATGTCACTGAAATAATTAATATCAAATCATTCTGATTCGTATGGAGTTTTGCTTTGCTTTAGATATGTGCTCTTAATGTTATATTCAAAGTTTTGCAAAATACTGTGCTGAAATTTGTTATAACTAGTTTTTTCTCACATGTAAAATTTGTAAAAATAGACTTAGTAACTTTTCATTCTTATTAAGACCGGCCAATTTGAATGGTAGACTTTTCTAACTAGACGGGTATGGCATAGAAGAATTCTAGTTGAATTTTAAGTAAATTTGCCGCAGAAACCATGGGCCTAAAATGAATTTCGAGCTTGCTAAATCGCGAAAATAGATTTTTTTCCTTTGGAGCGTTATAATTTGCTGTATTGTCGTAAAGAATTGCTTAATTTTTTTATAAAAACCTGCTGTAAGGGATTTTTTGTATGAGGAATCCATTTCCGGTTTTTTCATTTTCTTAAGGCACTCGCCAGAGGATGCAACAGAGCAATTTTTACATTTGCTTACGTTGTAAAAGAACAAAAGGTATATTTTACTTTTCCTTCCAATTTATATTCATAAATCTTAAATTCGATACAAAATATAAGATTTTTTTTTTAATATTTCCATTTAAATTAAAATATTTATTCAATTAATAAAATTTTCTTAAATTATAAGTGCAAACTATATATTTTCTCAAATTAGAAATATGTATGTATACATACTATATGTAGATAATTATAAATAAATTTTAAATTCAAAATATGCCACCAGAAATGGACGAGAAACTCATTCATAAATTACGTACCGACGTAAGATACCTTCAATATAAAATTAACGCGCCCTAATGTATACTATAAGTTACACCACATAAATCCACATTTCAAAATTTATACAAAAATTTAAAAAAAACTTACACCACAATTTCAAACTTTTTTATCGGAACTTTTCGAAAACCTTAGGTATACAGCTTTATATTATAGCCCATTAAGCTTTAGTACAATAAATTGCGAGCTTCCAGCGGCTGGAAATCTGCGTTGATTTTTAATATGTCTTTTTTATACCGGTGGTACGTATTTTCATCTAAAAATAAGAATTAATACGCACCCAGAAATATATTTTGGTAGGGGTTTATGCTTCTTAAAATTCGATTCAGATAATATGCTGTTTAAAATATATTTATGCATATTTTATTCACATTATGGAATAAATAAATAAACTTGATAGATCTTCTGAGATTGAAGGCCACATGAGTTTTGCGCCACCTGCAGCCCCCGATGCCTCCCAGTCATTGCTGAGCAAAGAATTCACCCAATTTCTGATAGTAGCTTCGATGGCCGAAAGTGCGGAATTCTATATCTGGTTGCGGATTGAGGAATGGCTGGTGTAATCCAACTCTTACCAAATGGTCAAATGTCTCATTACCAGGTACTCCCGAGTGACCTGACACTCAGAGTAAAGCAACATAATTTAGTCGAGACTTGCATTGCCGAACTACTTTGGAAGTACTCAGTTAGAGGGCTGGCCAATGCCTTAAGTGCAGCTTAGCTGTCACTGCAGACACGTAAACTCCTTCCTCTCCACTTATTTTCCACCACGTAGTCCATGGCCTTGAGGATTGCTAATACCTAAACCTGGAATACCGAAGCATATTCCCCAAGAAAAAAGTGAAGCTTATCGCCATTAACTTCGAAAAAGACCCCAGATCCTGAGCCAGAGTCAGATTTGGAGCTATCAGTGAAGATTCGACAATGTGTGAGCACGGACTGGAATTAAACCAGCATTCCCCTCAGGGAACTCTCTCTCTCTCTCTCTCTAGAATCTCTTCAACAAAGGTAATCCAAAGGTATCCTGCAGCATTGAAAAGACACAAGTTCTCAGATCTTTGCCGCCTCGCCTCACTCGGTGTTATACCAACATCCGTTTCTTTTTAGTCTGCGGGTGGCCTTTACGGCCAAAAAGTGACGGTAGGTGCAGCAGTGCGTCAAGAGCACAAAAAAAAACAGGAACAAAATTAAGGGAGGTTTTTAAACCAGGAAATTTAGAGTTAAATTAAGAGGTTATCTGATCCATAGGCCAACCCAAATGAAAAAATTTTGTTCAATCTTGTGGCCCAAAAAAGTTCATAAATTTGGAAAATTATTTTTTCGCGCCATCTGTCAGGATTACCCTAGCTCCTACTAATTTTTAGCCAAGGAAAATTAGACGCTTAGAGCTTCAAAGGCTTTGTCTAAGTCCGAATACGAGCATGTTTTTACCGACCTGTCAAAAACCTCCGAAAAATTTAGTATTTATTTTGTTCCCTTAATTTTTTGGAGTAGTGTATTATCTGCCTACATCGATATATAAATCCAAGCAAACATTTTCGTTCTTTACTGTCGAAACCAGATAAATTTTCGTGGACCCCCACTTACAGCTCGTGAACCCCCATATTTTTTTCACGCCAACGTAGACCCCTGTCCAGTCTCCCGGGGACCCCTGGCGACCACTTTGGGAATCACTGCTCTAAAATTTCGTGGTTTATATAACTGCACACTCAGAAATGTTTTAGAAATTCATATAGAATGTAAGAAAAAGTTTTTGAAAATTTGAAGAATTTTTATAATTTTCTTATTTAAATCTTTGATGAAATTTTTTAATTAGATCTCTTCAAAAATTAACAAAAAGATTTAATAGGAAAAACATTGTTAATATTTAAAAATATTTTTTGAAATAGGGCCTGTGGGGGAATTGATTTTTAAAATACCCCTACAAATGTATTATCAAAGGTATTTTTATTGAGCATTGTCTGTACTCGCTTTTTTCATGCAATTTTAGCGCGCATTTTGCATGACGTAATGCTTCTTGAAGCTTTTCACCCTCTCGTAGTATATGTACTGCTTTCAGTGATTGTTTCAAGAGAAAGCTTCTAAGTGAATATTTATACAAAACATAACTGATGAAGAATGGGATAAACGCAGATAAAAATTACAACACAGAAAATAAATATAAACAAACAAGCAAAGGAATGCCAAGCAAAGTGATGCTCAAGCGAAAGCACCGAAAGCACGATAAAAAGCTCTGTGGCAAAATATGTAATTAACGCGCATGTCGCGCCAACAACAAACAGCCTTATAAGAACGAACGTCAGACAAAGTGAAAATTGTCAAGTGCTGGCACTTGGTGAGACGATGACAAGAACAAAATATTACGCATACGACACGTTGAATCGCACTTAGAACGCTTTGTTGGTAAGGGTTGTGGTAGGCGCGAAGGCGGGCAGGCAGACAAGCAAAGTGAATTCATTGACAAAAGCCGTGTAGCCGTGTAGCAATGAAAGCAAAAGTTTTTATTAGAATGAATACAAAGAAATCTGAGAAGCAGAAGAGCGAGCAGCACTTAAAGTTCTAACCAGTGTTGCCATTTTCAAAAGTTATTACCAAAATTGGTAGAAAAAATTTGGGTTGGTAAAAAAGGTAAATTTTTTCTCATTTTGTATGATTTTTGTTAAAGTATTTTGTTTCGAAAACAAAAACAAACAAAAGTTGAGTTGCCGCTTTATTCGGCTTAGTTAGCTTTATATTATACATTTCTTTCCAAAAGTGTTGTCACACTTTTTATATACATTCATTCATAGATATCGATAAAAGGCGAACATATTCTGAGCAGCTTTTGATTGCCTAAATATTTTTAATGATTCCTTAAATAGAAAGAAGAAATGGACAGGCGCATGTAATTACACACTATGATTTTTCACAAAAAAAAGAAAAAAAATCAAAGCCAGTTTTTATAAATGGCAATTTTTAAATGAAAAAAAAAACACAAAAGACCGGCGGCATTTTTTTTTATAAACCAACGGCAATTTTAAGCTGCACATTGTTGGTTATACTAAATTTCCATTAACGATAAAACTGCATACCCAAAATTGTTGTGGAAATTCAGAGGAAAAAGTTCGAAATTTAGACCAATTCTTTTTTTTTATTTTTCTAAATGTTGGATAAAGGTTGAATCCTTGATTTGTATGGGTTTGGTTAATAATACAGTATTCTTATACAAAAAAAGCGAAAAATTTTTTACTTGAAAAACATTGTGAATATTAGAAAAATACCAAGCGGCTATTTGAGGCAAAGTATTTGTATATAATAACTCCAGTTGAAGTTTTTTCAAATGATGAAGCTTCGTTGTTGCCTTTAGCTACTTTCTCTTTTGGTTGAACATGATCTCAAATACCCTATCATTAGTTAAAAGTTCATTAATAAACAATTTTAATTTTTATTAAAATAACTAAAAAAAATGGTACAAAACTATAGTTTTTATTAAAATAAGGAAGAAAAAGTTACTGGTATATATTTTCCAGATTTGCTAAATTTTTTTCAAGTGGATGGTAAGGATATTTTTTTCATCAGTGGCAACCCTGGTTCTAACGTCAGTGAATGTTGACAAAAATAGGCAAATGAGCCAAAGTGTCCAAACATTCGTGCTTAGTATTCGTCATACATTCTTGCTGTACAAAACCATTGCTGAGTCAGAGCATCAAAACACTTGCGGTTGTGGAGGACTTTAGCGACCTAGCATAAACACACGCACATTCACACACAGAGCGATAAGACGCTAAACAAAAGAATTAAGAATTAAAAAGAAAGTGGCTGGTCGTAGCCTTGCAGCGGCAGCAATTAATTAAGTGCAACACCGTCACCGCGACAAAAGGCAGCCACAAAGTGAACAGTCAACGGGCGAAGGGGAGGCAATCTTAGTGTGGACATAGGGACAAACAAGACCATCTCGCCATTCCACATACTACATTTCTAAGCCAAATATTATCGATTTAACACACCAGCAGTGTGGGGAAACGGCAGTTTGGCGGGGTCTATGTAATTAAGTTGGCGCAACATCTTTTTAGACTGCAATGTATGCCGCTTTTGTGGCAGTCGAAAACATTTCAACAACAACCGCGCTGGTAATCGTGCAAAAATCAATTAGAATTGAGTAATCAAATTTATGTAGATAAGAAAGCAAAAGTCACGCAAAAAAATATATAAAATTTAAACTGCTGTGAATTGTGTTTGGTGATCAGTTGGAAAAGTTTTAACAAAGTATTTAAATCAAAATGTTGCTGCCTCAGAAGTCACCCGCAGCACATTGGCGCTGCTTTGTGGATCTAATGATGGCACCAGTGTCACCGAAGAATCTACGTTTGTCGGCCATACTCATTGGCATCTACCAACTGGTGAGTGTTGAAGTAAAATTGTATAGTTAAAATAAGAAAGCATGCATGTTGAGAATTTGATACTCGGTTTAAATGCCTATAATTATGCTTACAAAATGTTATAATGAATAGGCCTAAGAATTCACAGTACTAGAATAACAACAAACATTTCTGAGGCACTCCCTTTTAGGTAAACTAATAGGATGTTTGTCGCCGCAATTGCCACCCACTAAACTTTGACTCAAACTGACGCAGTCAAATGCTTCTAATTACAGGTGAATTGGCAGCTTAGTGCTAGTTAATATACATAAGTATGTATGTGTGTTTGTACTCATATGTACGTGTAGAGCTTACAACGTACTGCTAAACGTTCATACATTCATTCACACGAGTGCATATGTACTTAACTGAAAGCATTAGCGACAAAGGTGCAAGAAAATCGATTACATTATTAAGTAATGCGATAAATGCTGGAATGAAGTACGCATTTAATTTTAGATATTACTCGTTTTGTTAATTTTTTAATAAAGTTTAATATAAGTGTACAATTCGATATATGTATGTACAAGGAAGGTTTTTTTCTGGCAGTACTAGTACAAGCAAGCATTTGTAGCACTCATGTACCTTTAAACTTTTCCAATTTCACTACGACTTTTTTTACTACGTATACTCTTCTACTATAAGTACCAGGTTGACCGAGCTTTGCCGGGAGTGTATATACTTTTTGAAGTTTCAGGATTTGGATACCTTTAAAAAAATATATTGGAAGAAAAAAATTTGGATTTCGATATCTATTAAGTAAATTTCTTACTACAAAATTTAGGTGGTGGCAACCCTATTCCGAAATACGGTGGAATGAATGGTACATATCTTGAGCGTATATGTACTGTGTATATATTTAAAAAAGTGCTGACTGAAAGTAACAAAATAAAAATTTTCACTACATTGAAGCGTGGCAACCCTGATGAAAAATATTTTCAGACCAAAGTTCTCAACAATACCTTTCATTTGATATCCATATTGCGATGTTTAATATAAGCTGTGCAGAATCGAAAATAAGTGGCAACCTTACACTATTGTCTTAAGGGATAACAATTTGTAAAGAGGGAAAGCATTGTTTAAGAACCTTCTTTTGTTACCCATGAATAGTAATATTTTATTTTTTTTTTTTTCTAAACAAAAAACTAAATAAATACGCGATTAAAAATAGGTGGCAACCCTATTAAAAATATTTTTGAATTAGGGGTCTTTAAAATACCTTCCAATTGATACCCATATTATGATGATTTAATTAATTTGTAACTAATTTCGAATAGGTGGCAACCTTATACAAGTCTTCTGATGCATTTATTGATATCGATATTGCTTTGGGTTTTTTTCAGCATTTTTATCGATTTGGTCATTTATGCATTATCATCACTAAATCAATTCGAAGTCCATAATGCCGATATTTGTATAGATTTATTTAGGAAACGCTAAGATGATTCCACCTTGTCATCCTTCAAATAGCAACGGCAATGTGAGCCTGAAAGGTTATTAAGTCGTATCAACCGGGTTTCTAATGGGCAGTGTCCGGTCAAGAATCCTGTCTAAAAATCGAGACTTAACCAGCGGCAGAAGCTCCTTAAACCGCCCACGATCGACTACTGGGCCTGAAGATGTTTGTAACCTTGCATGTCAAGATTTTTGTTCAGCTCTCGCTCAGCCCACTATACGCCCATCTGTCCAAGAGAAATACATAAGTTGTCACAGCAACGCCTATACCCTGCCTGTCAGGAGACAGACCAGAAGGCTACCCCACCTATTAGTCATCCACGAAGGTTTCTGAAAATAATTCGCGGCAATCGAGTGAGAGATCAGGCATTCTGGGAGCAGGTTTGATCATACCATGACCACTCCCACAACCCTGATTGCCACTTGGCTGTCAGAATAGATATTTACGTATCTAAGCTGTATTCTACCCGTACCTAGCCAGTCGACTTTCTCTTTTTTAATGGTCATTTTCGAAAAAGTACGGTCCGATGACTCCGCCAGCCCAAAATTCATATTTTCCCAATATTGACTGGTTGTGAGTGCATAGTTTTTCCTTGTAGTGGGTTTAGTTTTGCTTGTTAACGTAGCCGTTTAGCTGAAAATATGCCTCATCGTGCATGATACTTTTTTTTATCGGCATCAACGTTTGGATCCCTTTTACGCGTTGTTCAACTGAGTATCGCTCCATGACTAAGTTTTCCAAAGCCAGTAGTACCAATTGCTTGAAAAAATATAATAAAATACTTATATATCTCAAATATTTACTGTCAAAGATCTGCAATACCCTTGTATCCAAGAATGATAGAATACAAGATTGCGCCGATTGTTGTAGAGTTGACAACTGAGACCGGCGAGAATGAGGGCGACTAGTGATGTGCTGAATTGTCCCCAATACTCGGTACCCAATACTTAAAAAAGATTTCAGTATCCGATACCGATTATTTACATTAAACCTTCGCCATTATATGCATTTCAGGTTTAGAAAAAACTTTCATTACTAATTTATATGATATCGGCTAAAACACTTGAACTTATCGCCACAGAAAAATATTATTTTATCAGTTTTAACCTTAGTCGATCCAAGGTTCAAGAAAAATACTTTGACGGATGAAGAAGCCTTTCAGGGGAGGGATTCTGTAGCCAGTTAGCGACAAGTTTCGGACCGATATCGCACTTGTTGACTTAGAAATATTTGATATCAAACGTGGACAAAAACGATACCGATTCGAAAATTGTCGTTAACTGGTTACAGAATCTGTCCCAGGCCTACAAAAATGATACCGTCCGATTCAGCTGGAACAAAAATGCTTCAAACAAGTAAGGGTTTCTCTGTATTATGGCATCGAACCGACATATATACATCTTTCGTTTGAATCAGTAAAAAAGCTCGATTGGCTCTTACATTCGGGTTTTGTTAGGCGTTTTTCCCATATTTTTGGCCTATGTGCGCTTTTATTCGAAACCTAAATGTTTCGGTACCGAGTATCGAGAGTATTGGGTACTTAAAAGTATTGACTGAGCACATCACTACTGCTGTCTTCTCTACTATGACGTCACCAAAACAGCTGATTCTGTCAAAATCACTGAGAGCCGAGTAGCGGTATCGTCATCGGCGCCACCTCTGTACTCTCCACCGTGCCTCGTATCACCCTATATGTATGTATGTATACTCGTATATATATGTTTATCTTCAACACATCACATAACCACTCAATAGTCTCATTTCACTACTACTTACTTACATACGTACAAATATATTTCCCATTGCAAATTACAGCTTGTCGCCCATTTGCTACTCTTTTTGGTGCTTTTGGGTCTGGCACATGCCGAACAAATGAAAAATATGCTTGCCATGGATATCGAGGATCAGAAGGATAATGGCTTTTATGATATGTCACCATTTCGTAATCAGTTGCGTCTGCGCACCGCCTCTCAACTGGTTTCCGTCACCGAAATGCTGCTCTACATATTGACTGCTGTTGCATCGGTTTATTTGCTTAGCACTATCGCATTGTTTGCTGGAATTTTTAAAAATCGCTCAGAATTTGTGCTTCCATGGTTAGTTGTTGAATTTATATTCATTGTATCAGCAGCAGTTTTGGTATTTTGGCTGCAGAACGAGAAATTTGTGGATATCATTGGAGGCAAAGTGTACTATTGTGAGTGAGCAAGTTAATACTTAATTCAGACTGTATATGTGTTGAGGGCTTTATTTAATTTTTTTCTTTGCTAAATTTCAGTTATGATATGCTTCACGGTACTGCTCTTCGATTGCTTGATGTGGTACATCATACACTCTTTCTATCAGAGGCTACGCACTATGAACAAGTTGAGAGAAATTGCAACAGTCGCAATACCTTGTCCGCCACCGGGATCGGTAAGTATCTGCTTGGGGGGTATGATTTTTGTATATTGGAATATTTTCAATATATCGGTGTCTCGAAAGACAATGGTGAAACTCTTTGGAAAATCGTTTTAATCTATGGTCTATCTATATACACACATCCTCATGTGATATTGGATGTTTTTAAGCTTTCTATCAGCAGGCAGAAGGTGGTCACATCTCTCTAGCCCCGACTGGTCTAGTTTTTTTTCTAAATTGTGCAAATTAAAGTATTCCAGTGAGAAGAGAAAGCTTCAAACATCATATCCAGCACTTTTACTCCGACTGACTTAAAAAATATATTCTAAACTATTAAGAATTAAAATATTTTCTTAATGCAAACCCTTAATTCCAAAAAACTTGCCAAACGTGGATTGCTCATTGTCACAGCGAACACAAAGTTAACACACCGAATACTTAAGGCCCCGCCAGATAGAACTAGATAGTACTAAAACTGACGCCTTTAACTTTAGCTGTCACTGCTTGGTGGTCTATAAAAGTCTTCGCCGCTTAGAAATTAGGTTAGCAAGCTTTTCATCTAAGAGCGCAGGATGCTGGAATGAGTACTCAGCTAGCCTGACGAAGTACAGGAAAGAGATTAGGAACGTCAAGAGCAGTTTCAGAACCTCGTCTGCTCCTGCAGCTGCAAGACTTCACTACCTATTCACACACCCACACAACTAGTGAACATCTTGAGATATAAACAGTCTGTTACTTATGCTCTTGGGGAGGAGAGCTGGAGTATTTTTCATTCCGAAAGTCGGAAGGGGAGACTACACCCTACCACAAAACCATTCATATAATTCTAACCTCATTATTGACAAAAGCAATTGAGCAGGCTATAGACAATAACATAAGATCACACACTCAGGTTGAACCAGCAGCATATATGGTGGGCAGATGCTAGGACACTGCTCAGTACACGTTGACTAAGGAAATAGGAAGTACCTCTGGCTTGTGCTTTCCTCTAGAATAAGAGAGCCTTCGCCAACACGTCACATGTAGGTATCTGTGACGTCTGTGACGAATTAGAGAAACAAAATATGAAACAGAAATTGGGGATAGAGTGGTACAGTTAGAATCAACAAAGGGATGCCCGTAAGTGGGCATACTGCCAACCCTCCTATCGAGCCTAGTACGTCCATTACTTCTACAAATTTCCACCAATAATAGCAACCGCTGTCAGGGATATGCGAATGGCATAGTAATAGCGACCAGAAGGAAGTTCGAAAGAAACCTCTGCGTCATAATTGGTCTAAATTTGATGGAAGTCTGGTGCGCCAGAGCTCGAGCTACTGCTTATTACCATAGAACAGACCGCCAAGCGTGTTCTCATAAACTTCGCAAAACAAACAAACACCAGGCCGGTTTTATTTTTTTGATGAGACTATCCTTACTCTTAGTGAAAGTCAGGCAGCACCCAAAGCTCTCATTGAGGAACTTAAAGCTCTCGCTGAACACAATGACCTTCTCGTAATTTTGGTACCAGGTAACAAGAGAATAGAGGAAAGCGAAATAGCCAACGACTTAGCAAGGGTACAGCTACCGCTATATCCACAAAGCCTGAGAAACTCCTTGCAGTAGGGCCAAACACGATCAGGGACAAGCTCAGAAAAGTGATAATAGGAATGAGAGAACAACACTGGCGAAGCACTACATGACTTAGCCAAGCCAAAAACTTACTGAGGGGAATATAACGTGAAGAGATACAGAGAAATACTAATTAACTTTAATAAGGAGAAACTAAAGAATATCTCGCAGGTATCCGTACAGAGCACTGCAGAGTTAATCTGCATAAGTAAGTGATCTTGTCAAATGATCTCTGTCGCTTTCGTGACTCAGTCCAAGAGACACCATTGCAAATGTTCTTTGATTGTAAGACGAGAGGCTAGACTCAATGTGGCCAAAGGATGAGCACATACACTTCCTACGTCTAATGGCTCGTCTATACTTTCTGCGGATTGTGGGACTAGCAAAAGGGTTTTGTAGAGTAGAGGCCACAATAAATCCTTTAAAGCGACTTATGAATTCCTTAAATATGTATCCTCTCATTGAAAAATGTCTCCCTTCCTTGACACTAAGCCTGACTTTGTATGGTTAGCTTAATTTAAAACTTAATAAACCACTAATATTTAAAATACATATTAATCATCTAAATATCTTCTCCGACAGATACCCTTCCACTTCCGACGCGAGAACATGTATCTCGGCAGCAATGGATACAAGCACATCCTCTCCGAGTCGCCAGATGGCAATTATTAAAATGAATAAATTTTAAGAAGCGCTGCTTAGAAATTGAGCTAGGGAGTGCACATGCATAGATGCATAGATAACTTAGTCAACACGAAAAAAAAATCACGAAATCTCCAACCGCTAGAGCTGCTTCAAATCCCGTGATTCCTTCCGTTTAGGTACCACATAGAAACTTCGTTTATGACGCACGGTTACATACACGTCTCTGATAAAAGCAAATCAATAAGCACCTAAGCCTTTTTTGTAAGCAAAGCAAAGCAAACAAAAAACAAAAACACACATACATAAATGAGTGTAAATGGCATGCAATATTCCCGGCCTTATTACTATTATTATAACTGCTAATATTTATACGATATACGAGTACCAAAAGTACCATAGTTTGTGATATTTTGCTGCGAGCTAAATAAATACATAAAAGCTTCAACGATCTTATTTTATGATTTAATGTTTTCTCGTATTAATTTCTATAAATAATATTTAGATATGTATGTAGGTATATACGCTGTTGTGTAAGAATATGTTTGTATTATGTTTTTGTCGTACGAATATATTTTTTTTTATTATTACCAAAGGTGCAAATTTCGTATTTAGATAAGTTATTTTAATCAAATTTAGGCAGTGCAGTGTTTGTATACTTAAGAAAGCCTTATACATATAAAGAAAATACAAATAATGTATGTATTTATGTGAAGTGAAAATAATCTACTTTGTAGACGGATGAGTACATACATAAATATGAGTAGCAACACACGTATTAATAATGTTATTAGTTCCGATGCATGTAAATGCTGTATTTATGCTATTTTATTCGATTGATTCCAATAAAAATATTAGTATATAATACAAAAAGTGTATATCGGATTATTTTAAGGGATCAATTTTTGTGTATACCCTGTCGGGAATTTCATAGTCAACTACTAAAATAGCTAACGTTTGGCCCATTTATTACAGGTAACCTTTAATTTCAAAGCCATGCAGGGCTCAAACGAAGAAATACGTCTGTGTTAATTTTTTTTCACGATTTTTACTTACAACAAAAAACGTGTGTACAAAATGAAAAAAATATATGTACATTAGGGCACATCACTCTCCAAACAAAAATAAAAAATTTGTACTGTTTTGCGAACGGATATACATATACAACTTTCGCTAAGATATTTTCGAAAAACTTAAAGATTTACGTGAGCTGGACCTTGTTGAAAATACCTACAAAAATATAGTTTTTTATAAAAAAATTATGTAGTTTTTAAAAATATTTTCTGTAAAAAATCAGCTCAGATGGTAGAATTATTTAAGTTAAAATGGTCTGCATTCAAATTTTTAAATATTTTATCAACGCAATCAAAATAGAAATTTTTTGCGGTATCTTCAAATCGGTCTAGCTCACGCAAATCTAAATATTTTTCCGACAAAATTTGGCGGATGCTTTAAAATATAACAAATTTTATGATTCCAATGGAAAAACTGCAATTATTTTTGGTGATTCACCCTAATGTTCATACATACGTATATTTTTGATTGCATTTTTTTTTTTTTTTTTGTTGGAAGCGAGTACACTTGCATTTGAGCAATGTTTTTTACAATAATAGATAGTATACCCGTAAATATATGTAAATATGTACATATATACGTGCATATGGGGAGTTTCACGTCAAATGTCTCAGTGGTGTAAAACGAGCTACTTTTCGATTAGCGGGGAAACACATAGAAAATGGAAAAAAATGTTCACCAACTATGTTTTCTATAGATTTTTTTACAGGCTATCCGATGGTGGTTTTCCCAAAATTTTCACATTTTCACGGTAACTGGTCTCCTCTCCTCTAAAACGCTTTATATCTCGGAAAAATCAAAAAATCCCTCTTTTATTAATGATTACTACGTACGTAAAAATCCTCGCCTTTCCATTGAGATGAATTGAAACAATATTAGAAATGACTATCACTGAGAAAAATTCAAAATAAATTTTCTTTTTGAATTTTCACAGTTAAAATGGAAAAATTTTAGAAAACGCATAGCAACATCGGATAGCGCTTACAAAAATCTATAGAAATAATAGTTGGCGATTTTTGCCCCCATTTTCCGTTTGCTTCCCAGCCAGTCGAAAAGTTGTTCGTTTTGTACCACTGAGCACAGCTGGGACATTTGGGCATTTGGCGTGAAACACCCTATAGGTATATATGTAAATATGTCTGTACGTAAATAGCAAGTACGCAAGAAGAATTAAGAATTGCATTAGAATCACCCTGTAATGCATTGCATATTAGCGCGCTAATAAGGCAGAATATATCACGATTCGTTGCATACATTTAGGAGAGCGCTGTTATGTGTATACTCTTGCTCCGCGCTTTTCTCTAGCATGCGCACAGCAAAACTTGTGTGCTTATATTGCGCTTTGTTCAAAGTAAGGCAAACGGTTCCATGGTGTAATGGTTAGCACTCTGGACTCTGAATCCAGCGATCCGAGTTCAAATCTCGGTGGAACCTAAGGAGTTATTTTTTTTTTAATTTTAAGCACACGTTTTAAAGGTTTAATTATTTAGCATATCGTCACCTGAAATGCAAAGGCGTAGTAACATCATCGTGATTGCAATGTAAAAAGTCGTGACTAATATTTTAATTTTTTTTTCACCATAAAATGATGTGGGGAGTTTTAATTAAAAAAGTGAATTTTGAATTTTTTATTAGTTATGACTTTTTGCATTTCAACGATGATGTTTGCATTTCAGGTGACGATATGTATGTACATAATATGTAATATATCTCCTTATATAAAAAGTAAAGTTGCAAAAGTAATGTTACTAAAAACCACTGGACCGATTTTGATGAAATTTTCATTTAAGAAAAACAACAGCAAATACAATTTCCACAAATAAGAAAAAATAACAGAGAAGGTCCGCATATAAAAAAGACAACAACAAATAGAAATAAAGAGTTGCCATCTGCTTGAAAAATTTCGAATAATGAAATCGATAAAAAAAAAATTATTTACAATATATTACAATTTGGATATCGAATAAATTAGGTTTAGGAATACTTAAAAAAGTAAATATTTTGGAAAAGGGTTGCCATATTTTAAAAATTTTAATTCTATGAAACTGATAAGATAAATAACACATTACAATACGGATATAAAACAAGAGAGGCTTAAGAAATGTTGATTTCCATTTATGTTTGATAAATAAAGTGTTTAATAAGGGTGTCAAAGTATAGTGGTTTCAGAAAGCTAAGTTTAGAAAATATTTTTAAAGAGGATTGCCACCTGATTGAAAAATTTTATTCAATTAAATTGGTAAGATAAATGAAGCATTACAGTTTTAGTATCAAGCAAAGTTATTTAAGAAATCTTTGATTTAAAACATTCTTCATTAGCGTTATCACCAATCTAAAAAGTTCAGACCAAAACAAAAGCTATTTGAAAACGGTTTAGTAGAATGAAAAAAATAATTTACACATTCTTAGATCCTGATATTTATAAAAAAGTGTTGCCACTGATATTAATTTTTATATGAGGGTTTGTTTAGTTGAGTTGAAATAAAAATTTTGAAATATTTACGAAACGAAAAATATTGAACAAAAGCTACTCATAGAAACTTAAGAAATAATAAAAGCTTAAGAAATATTAAAATAAATATCAGGTGAAAGGTTTTTAAAAATTCCTTGATTCTTCGGAATTGAAAAATTTTGCAATTTTCATTACAATGCCAGGGAAAACGTTAACCGATTTCTTTAATTATTTTTTCAACAAAAAGATGTTACCTCACAGGTGGCCCCATACTAATTTGGTTTAAATCCGATCATTAGGATCATGAGGAAATTAACGATAATCTTAAATTTTTATAATAGGGGTAATTTTACACACTTACCCACGCCACTTACCCTTAAAAAAAATCCGTTTATTTAAGCTAACGAAATTTGAGTTATCCAACAACCCCTTTTATTTTCGTAGTTTCGAAATGTTCAACATTTCTACTTTAATATGAAATATAATGTTTATGTATATGAAACATTTGTGTGTTTGCTCAAATACAAAATTTTCAATTTCCACTAAAAAAAACACTTTTCTCCTTATCCTTATCCTTATCCCTTCCTTCCTCGTGCGGGTGGTGGTGCCTTAGTCGTTGTAGTTGTCGTTAAGGGTGTCATGCTAGTTGCTTCGGTAGTTTCCATAATCGCGTCAGTTACTAGCTCAGCCATTGAAACATTCGTATGCTTACCCGAGTCACTGGGTATACTGATCTGGAACTGGAGCAACACAACCAGATAAGTGACCATTGTGGTAAGCAACTGCAAAGCAAAATTAGATAAGTAGTGAAAAGTATGCATATACGTGTAATAAATCTATAATATCGTCGGAAATGTATTAGGGTGGTTCTTAAAAATATCAACAACTAAATTTTTTTCATGTGGCACAACTCCCTTATTTTGTTCTGCGTATAAAATAAAGACATCCACGCCGATTTCAAAATTTTAAACAAATTTTTAGTGGTCGCTAGAAGGATTTGAAAAAATTTATTTATTTTAATCGCAAAATTAGACAACAATTTAGCTTGCAATCTGATAAATTCGGCATATTATTGAAACTTATTCATATAAATTCATAAACTCGCTGAGTTATAGCTCGTCAAGTGGACATTTTGTCGAATTTTCGCGATTTGAAAAAAAAATATTCAAAATCTGTTAGCGATCCCAAAAATTTTGGTGAATTTTTTTTGTGGATATCTTTATTTTGTACGAAAAACAAAACAAATGTTGTTCATATTTTCAATGACCACCCTAAACGTATGTATTTATTTTTTTTTTTACTCACCCCTTTGAAAAGATTCCGATTTACATCGAAAAATCCGCCACAATTGATATTCGACGGATTCATTTCAGTAGCGCGTATAAACATATTGATTTCCGTTTGTGCATCTGAGTTCATCCAATTCAATTCGACCATTAGTAATTTTTTCTGAAAATTCGTACGTACATTGAAGGAGGCATAATGAGCCTTATCACAAATATAGAAGAGTAGGAATACATTCCAAATGGCGGTAATGGCCAAACCAATGTCCTTAATACCGAAACCTTCAGAAAGTTGAGACATAAGACCATAAACCGACAAAGTGATAACAAAGAAAAGATATAGATTGAGGAATGTGAAGGTGTAGCAGGTAGCATTGCCGGTATCGCGTGTCAATTTGCTCAGACGTAACCACAATGCGCGATAATCGGCGACCATAGCGGCGGGGCCAATGTGACGAAGTGCCTAATAAGAGGTGGAGTAGATCATTTGAACACTCTACTTTACGAGTCAGTTTTTTTAAATAATTGCATTGTGGATTTACCCTTTGAAAACGCTCGCCTAGAATATTTGCTGTCGTACTGAGACAATCACAAATAATGAACCACCAAGCACCCAACATGGCGGTCAAGTTGTCTAAGATGCAGTAAGGTATTACCTGTGAAATGAATGTAATTTATGTGAGGCATACATACATTATTTGTAAAAAAAATAAATACAAATAGTAGCGTGCTATATGAGGAATATGAAATTAGTATTATTAACTAACTTACTTGCACGAATAGAAAATCTGCCATCGTTATGTGAGTTATAACAACCGATATAATAGATAATACTGGCAAAACTATCGCAATAATTGTAGTTTTTCGAAACAAATTCAATGGTAAGCTATGACCCGATATTTGATAGTATAAAATCTAGGCACCATAAACAAAAAGTTATTCAATTTTATTTAAAAAAAAAAAACAATTCAAATTACAACTCTATACCTCAAAGTCATCCCAATCGTTCCACAGTATGGCGATCTTACGCGCCTCCCACCAGAGTATTGGAATCAGCAGTAGTGGTAGAATATTTACCAGAAATAGATAAGCAATTACAGCTTCCTCGAAAGGTCCACTCAACGATGAGACTATTCCTATGCGATTTTTAGCCACATAAGAGACATATATCTGAATAAAATTATGAATAACGTGTAAATAAAATAAATTTGTATGTACATACATATATTAGACTGTACCAAATAAAACGAATGTTTTTTTTTTCATTCCGTCCTATAAAATAAAAACTTCATTGTCGGCCACAAAAAAAA